TGTTCAATTAAGTAGTTAAAAGCTTCTTGAATAAAAATCAATGTTTTATAATTTAATTTTCTTGCAATTTTTTTTTTTTTTTTTTTTTTTTTTTTAACTTAATCTAGGTCGTCTATGCTGTACTTTTACAAATCATCACATTAAATTTTAGAATTATAAACAGTTGCTTTATAATTAAATTGTCTCACCTTTAATTGAAACAAGTTTAGTAAGAGTTTTTTTGTAGTGGCGTGAATAATTAGGATTTTTGAGGGAAATGTCAATCTTTAAATAATAGCATATTTTTCAAACATTAACATTTTATTCATTTAAACACAAGCACTTTTATCCAAATATTAAATCTTAAACCGAATAAGTACATTAGTGTTACTATATTGTGTTAGTTATCAAAAATATTGTATATTTGAAATTTACTAAAAATTTTCAACTGAAATAATGCATGATAAACGTTGTGAATCAAAAAAATTCTGCATTATTATTTTTTTATAATAAAACCTATTCCTAACTGGGTTACTCATTATGAAAAAATTACTTTTAATAATAAGAGTAAGTGTAATTAATTGATTGATAAAATAAATTCTAATATTAATACAAACTTATGGTATACGCGAACCTCGCTTTAGATTTGTATTTTTTAGTGGTCAGTACATGATAAAACGATTTACAATTACTTGATAAGAATTAATACAAAATGTAATTTTCTCTGAATAATAATAACATTACCACTTTCATTTTAACAACACTACAGTTGTACGCATGAGTGAGAAAATTGTTAACAATTTATTTACTTAACATTACATGATTTACAATGAATGCGTTTCGCAATGTTTAGATCGGAATAAATGTTAAGATGATCAAAAATACGTTTGTGAGCATAAAGAAAAATCAATTTGCGTCAGTCGAATTTAACCAATTGTGCGCTTGCATTGAGAGTCGTTGATTATTACTTGGCTTCAAAGGTATCTTAAAAGTAACAGCTTCCGGAAAACGCTCGTGATAACGCTCCAGTCTTAAGTATTTAACAGTCACTAGGTGTCCTGAAAAATTAAAAAACAGTTGAAAGAATCAACGTTGCAAGATTTTACGTCATAGATATCTACTTGATGTTAATCTTTACCATCGAACCAGGATCCATGCAATGCCTTATAAGCTTGACCAGCATCTTCCTGAGACATACATTTTATGTACACGCATCCTTCTCGACTTCCACGATCAACTTTAATGTGCAATATCTTAACGCCATCATTACATTTTTCAAGAATGGCATCTTTTACTCTCGTTTCCCAATCATCTTCAAATTCTCTGTAATGTAAGTCTTCAAGTAAAATTCTAATTAATATAACAGTGACTAATAAAATTGAATAAAACTTACACATCCGGATCAAACATGTGTCGTATTTTTAGACAAGGAGTTGGTGGGCAAGAAGGACTGTTCACAGAACCATCCATAGTTTCAAATGCGCTACCCTGCCAAACCTTGGACATTTTTAGAGAAGTGCTTGCTTTTGGTGAGTTGGAAGCATTGTTGGGCAACCAACGCCAAACTTGGAATTCCTCTCCAGATACAAATTGAACTTCCTTACGAATCCTTTGAATAAAAAATGTATGAGTTATTCAACCAAGTTTTTTTTTGTAAGAAAGTAGATAATCAAATTTTACATTTTTTCAGCAACTCATAGATAAAGAATAAGAGTAATTAAATGAAATTTGTTAATCACAGAAAATATATTTTAACGTTACAATTAGTAGTAGTTTTAAACTGTATAATTACCGTAGTTTTTTCTTATCAAAAGTACAAAATTTAATACAACATTAAATTTTTTAATTTCAACGAATAAATTGACAAAAAGAAATTCCAATCGTTTACTAAATAAACTGTAAAAATACTTAAAAGAAAAAAAAATATTCACCTTGACTCATTTTCATCTAAAAACTTTACAGCCTTCTCCCATACATCGTTCATATGTTTTCTATCTTTTGGTGGGATAAGATTGTCTCTAATATGATTGACAGCCAAATAGCTTTCTTGTGTACCACCTGGACTAGTAGTACTTTGGTAATGAGTTTCCAGCATGTTAATAATTTCGCTGACTAAGTTAAAGACTTGTTTTTCTTTCTTTTCTCTGTATTTCATGTAGGAAATCACAACTTTATTGACTATGAGGAAAGTTAATCCAACTACAACATACACAAAAATAATACTTAATGACGGAATAAATAAAAGAAATGACCGATCATTAGAGTTCAAATTTTAACTCATGAACTAGCTAAAGTTGTATTTAAAAAGTCAATTTAGCACTCGCGCCAAAAATTTATTGCAAGAAAGTTTTTGAATTTTTTAATTAACTTACTTGATTTCTTGGTTTCAAATCTTAATTATAACACTTTATTTATGTTGAAATTATTTATCATTATTAAAACTTTAAATTCTAAATAGTAAAGAAAATAAAAATAATCAGTATATTATTTTATTTTATAACTCTATGACGTGAAAAATAAATAATTAGATGACCATCAACATTACTGATAATTGATTAATTCATTGTAATAAACAAAATATGTTATTAAAAAGAAGTTCAAGATATTAACTGGTAAATTAGAGTTACAATGTTGAGACTAATACAACAAAGAATCAATCTAACGGATAAAAAATAACTTCAGATATAAATTTACCTATAGCGAAAAACAGAAAAGTCGTAAAGAGATTTAAGAGTTTGTTTTTCGCTGCACATTGCCAAGGTACCTCCGGCTCATTAATGACTAGCCCAATGTATTCATTCAAACGTGCATGTATTAATTCTTGCTGCAAAGCAAAAAGCCATCATTTTTTTTTACATAGCAATAAAATAATAAAAATTAAGGAAGCTATCAATAGAGAAAAGTTTACCATTGAAGTGATAATTGGTGCCTCAAGCTCAGATGAGTAGGGAACTTGCACTGGATACAATTTCCATTTCGGATTTTGCAAGGCAAGAAATTGAGCCATTTTCAATAATTCCTTAACTTGTGATTCATCCTGCATAGAAATTTTTAAGGTTCAATAATTATAGATACGATTTGGATTTTGATAAAGCAATGTGAAACGTTCTAAAAATTAATAATAGTTTACCTTATCAGGGGACACAAACATCTTAACTAGCTCTTTTTCACCCAAATATGGTTTTTCTGTAGTGCTTTCACATTTTGCTGCTATAGCTTTTCGCATTAAAATCGGATACACTTGTTTGAGCATTTGAAGAGTATCTTTGAGCAAAGTTTGAGGCACACAAGTATTTCCGGGACTATTCATCTCATAGTTGTTTTGATTACATATTTTTGTGTCATCTTCTAAAATGATAGAGATATGTAAAGTAATAGAAAATTGATAACGATTTTTGCATAGGCGATAAAATAATCATTTTTTTGTTCAATTAAGTAGTTAAAAGCTTCTTGAATAAAAATCAATGTTTTATAATTTAATTTTCTTGCAATTTTTTTTTTTTTTTTTTTTTTTTTTTT